GCTGCACTAGTATCGCAGAGGTCAGTGGTTCGAATCCCGTACAGGCCTGATTTTTTCAGGTCTGATTTTCGCTATTGCTTAAATAGCGCTATCTGCTGCGAGGATCGTGTATCATATGTATCTAATACCGCAGTACAAAATATATCAACTTCATATACTTCATTGTATCTCAATTACAGCATTATAACACTTTTCTAGCGTTTTAGTTCACACTTTTGATGTTTGGTGTCACGTTGTACCCGCTTTTGTATTACATCATACAGTAAATATTTTATTAATCTACTTGTCTGTTGTATAATTACTCACGTTCTGTTACTCAATAATTGAAGATGGCATAAGCATGCCGAAACATGTCTCTCAAAAAAGTTGTCTCTTCTTACAATATTTATCATACTTGCTACTACTACGACCTTTTAGATTTAGCGTTAGGTTTAGCAGTGGTAAGGCGGTGTTCATTAAAACGGTCTTTTAAACGTCGTTTAGTTTCTCCTATGCATTGATAAACCTAACTCTAAATCTAAACCATAGTAAGTAGTCCCCTCTACTAACTATGTCTAAACCTACTACAGTCGCAGAACACTTCCTTTCCTCTCCCAACCACTCTGCTTACGACATGGAGCTTACCGAAAAAGTGTTTTCCAAGAGAGAATCGATCCGCAAGGCCAGGGAAGCTTTTTTAATTTCAAGAGGCAATACTATTTATGCCGACGGTCTTAACGTTCGCGAAGAAATGTATTATTAAGAAGGAGACCATATAACGTATAGTAACAGTCGACGCAAAACCCACCAAACCGCTCAAATTCGCCATTTAGAGCCACAGGAACAACAATACACAGCAAGTGAGGTAGGTTTACATTTATTTTGAGCTTTAACTCAGACATTTCAAGATATAAGTTTACGATAATAAGACTCTTCAATATTCTCCGATATATTCCTTTATATTTCGAATGAACAACCAGACTCGTCGCTTGTCTGGGCCCCCTGTGTATATTTATATTCGTTATTTTGGGCCGATTAGATCACTGCTGATCCAACGTACAAGAGTAGGATTATAGTCCACGATTGCTTGCTGAACATTTCACAGTAATATATCAACATCTATCATGTTTCCAGGTCTTCCCTCACATTTTACTGATATCAGCAGCGCTTTTTAAAAATGGTATGTAAATTTTTTGTAAGAAAACTTTGCACCTCCAACGAAAAGGACAATATGTCTTTGACTAATGCAGAAGATTAGATTTTTAACTTTGATGTGATCCCGAAATTTTTTTTACTTTCCGGAAAAATGTTTTTGTGGCCTGAAAGTCCGGTTACTTTGCTCTTAAAAAAAAATACTGTCCATAGTCCCTCCTCTCTACTCTGTTATGAACGCCTGATCCTCTCTCTCCCTTCCCCTTGAAAACCAGTTGACCCCCTAAAAAGTTCTCCATCCCCCTCTGGCGATCCGATATAAAATGATTGGTCCCTTGGTTTGAGGAGCAGGTAAATAATAATCGAAAAAGACAATTTTTTGCTGATTTACGACCTTCATGCTGAATGTTCCTTAATCAATTGATCATGTTGATTATCTCT